CGAAGTTAACCACAGTGGTAGCGGAGGGAAATGTTAGCGGCAAGTCGGGTAGCATTTTAGGTCCTTTTATTCCATTTATTGATAAGGGAATTCCACCTAGGCTCAGGAGTAGCTCTTGATTGTTGTGGATGGAGCTTGGTTATCCACCAGGAGGTAAACACGAAGAGTGATTGGAAGGTTTGATGAAGAAAAAGCGGGATTTTCAAGAGGAGATTGATAAGTCATATTAGTTGCTATATTATTAAAGATGAGTTTTTTGGACATATTTTTTCATATTTTTTTTATGTTTTTTCAGTTTAATTGATTCTCATTAATTGTATAGGAAATATTAGATTGTAGGAAAAAAATGAATATTTTATGATTTTAGAGTGAAAAAGTATAAACAAACTTGAGGTAAGGGTGGGCACAACAGTTTCCTACAAGAGTTAGAAGATGGAAAAAAACTTAAGTTGGAAAGAGAATAAAAAGACAACACATACTATTTTATTCATTTAGGTAAATTTTCGGAGAGACAATGCTCTTTCATTATTTTTTACATATTTTCTAGTAGGATTAGAACTAGATTGTTTCTAGTAGGATTTGTTGTCTTCCTCTTTTCTAGAGGAGAAAACGACGTATGCATAGAGCATATGAACAGGATGATACTTGAAGCTAGCATGTCCAACTTATTTTCTTATTCCAGTTCGAGGGAAGTTTTGAGCTCGTCTTTTTTTTTTTTGTCATTTATGATTTAATCTCGTAGCATATTCTTAACTTGAATATCTCGAATTTTATTTTGTGTTATTAAGTGTTTTATTTATGTTGTTCTAGATCAAAAATATTTTGTCCATCTAAGTTAGGACTTATGTGACTGCTCTGTACTAAAAATCTGCCTAGGCAGCGCCTAGGCGCTGCCCGGCCGCATCCGATTTGCATAAATCGGCTGAAAAAATTGGTCAGATGGCTAGGCGGCGCTTAGGCGGACTTAGGCGCTCCTAGGCAGGCTTGGCGGGCGGGCGGCTAGCAGCTTTCCAGTGCCTCGACAGGCCTAGGTGGACTTAGGCTTTCATAGGCGAGCTCTGCGACAATTTTTAAATTTTGTTTTAATTTTTCTAAATACTAATTACATTATTTTGTTATCATTTTCTTTATAATATATTAATATTCTTATTTGGAGTTTGGTGTGGGCATATTCATACACGAGCTATTGACCATCAGCTTTGGCCTGGTATGACTCGTCCCTCGGAAGATAGTCTATATTCGGCTTTTTCGAAAATTGAAATACCTCGTATTTACTAATAGTATTGCTGGGACCAGAACTTACCTCCGCCCGGCAGGTGCTTTACGAAGATAGAACCCGAGGATACGAAGACGCGAAAGGAGAGGAAGGTAGAAGGAGAGTAGACGAAAGAAGCCCGGTTTAAATCCTACTCCCGTTCTCTCATCATGCTTAAGAGAACCCCCAACAAGTTTATCCTGCAATAAGAACATTCGACTCCTAGGAATCAAGAAAGTCATACAAGGCCCTAAAGCTCAGGCGGATTCGTAGGAGTGTGCGTCATGTCACTAACTCATCGAGCTAACCCTTCCTCACAACAGCCTTTCTTCCGCTTAGGGTTGGAACCGGACGAAAGGGTTTCGGTAGCACCCCACCCTCTTACGTAGCTGGTAGCGAAATCAATTTCGTGAACTTGCTTTATTCCCATATAGCAACAAAGAATCCTCCTTTCCAACTGGCTCAACCAACATGGAAGGAGCTCTGGAAGAAATTGAATCCCTTGTCTTTCGCTCCCGATTTCTTTCAACTGGATTTATGTTCTTGGATTTCTTCTAATTGCAATAGCAGGGTGGTGTTCCTTGATATACCATGGCCATTCATCTGAATATATGCAATTTTGTTCTTATGGTTTTGGAGAAACAACAAGCTTCATGACCCAGACTTTTCGAAGGACCTTAACCCACAACCGGATAAGACAGAACCAGGGAAGACTGGATCCCTCTTTCCTCCACACAGGCTCTATCTCTAGATCAAAGAAAGGAGAGCAAAGTGAGACTTGACTACAAGGTTTGACTGTTGAATTCCTTTCGAGAGAATATCTAGTGATAGAGGCGCAGCTGAACCCAAAGTCGATGCTTTTGTCGAGGCTGGAACTTTTGGCTTTCATTAAGGCCACAAGGAAAGACGGCACTATTACCACGATCTCCTCGAAGAAGAAAGAAAAGAGACTATGCGTCTGGGCAGCGGTGAGAGTAGCGCTAATGTGGCGCATCTATTCTATAAGAAAGAATAGCATCACGCTCAGGGGAGCAAAGTGAGACTAACAGGTGCCTGCGGATGAAACTGATGCCTACTTTCTATACGTTGTTTTCGTCGAGCAGTATATTATAAGTTGAGATAGTTTAGGTAGTTAAGAGAAATAAAAAATAAGGTATTTAATCTTGATTTCTAGGTCCCGCCTAGACGCTCTAGGCGCTAGGCGCTGATCAAGCGTCTAGCGACTTCTAGAACACTGTGTGACTATAGCTAGAACTTGGGTTGTAATCTATATTTGTAGAAATTTTATTTTGTTAGTAGAGAAAGATTGATGTTTATCTATTGAGTTACACAAAATCTAGATCCCTTAGATCGAGGTTGTGAATGTAATATCTTGTCTATTCCATTGTTTGGTTCTTAATGCGTCTAGTGACTTAGATTTAAAGAGCTTATTTTAAATCTCTCATCCAGATAGGTTCAATAGCAGAGCTTGTTTTGATTGAATAAACTTAAAAAACAATTGAGGGAACAGAGCTTGTTGTTGTCTTCAAAATAGGGATTCGAGACCTGAGAGGAGGGATAAGTGTTGCATTGAATCATAGATATAATTGAGAATGGCGGATAAACGACCACAGAACTAGAATTTTATCAAAATTTGAACTCATATTTTTTCCTAATTTTAGCCTAAATTGAATTGATATTTTTTTCTTTATATTGAGTTAATTGAGTACTTAATTAAACACAATGTATTTTATCTGTTCTCTGTGAGATCGACTCTTATTCACCACTTCTACAAATTAGTTGAGGTTTTAAGAGAAACAAACAATAATTTTGTGTGCCTCGACAGCACGGTCAGAGACATTGGAAGGTAGGTCTTGAAGAAAGTTTGTACTATTGCTAGTTGTGAGGTCCTTGACCTTCGGCATCTTGATGTTATGGCTATAACAAAAAAACAGAAGGTCAAATATCCCGATCTAGTGATGATTGAGTATGGAAAATACCACGATAGAACAATTAGAGTTAGGAGAACACTGATTGATGGGGATGTCATAAATGGTACCAACATTTTTGATGTCATCAAAGGGGAAATCGAAGAACACATCTTGGTCAAGAAAAAAAGATTAAAAATCTTGAGAGGGATTGTCGCACGAGTCATAAAGAGTAGGTGTTCTGGGTTTCTAATAGGATATAAGATTGGTGTAGATCCTAAACATTTGCATGGAAAATTACTAAAAGCACTTACTCATTGTTGAACGATGATTGTGGAGCTCGAGTGTGATCTCGGGAGTAAATGAATTAAAAGGAAGCTTTCGCACGCGGGTAAAGCTTGGGAGTTTTGAAGCAATAACGCTGGTGCAGAAAATTTTGAAGGTGAAAATATAGTTGTATTTAAATGGGATAGTGGGATAGTGGAAAGGTCTAAAACCTAATGATCGTAGGATGAGATTGGCTTGGATGGGTAGATCAACTCGAACATTAATGAGGTAACAGTGGAAGAGTTTTTGCACTTTTTCGAGGCGACTGATGGGATGATCGGGCATGACTTTTTCCAAAGTAAATTAATGGGATTCTAAACCCTAGGGTCACATCATACTCTTGGACGACATCAACTCGTCTAGAGTTAGTGGAAAAGTAGATGATATGACTCACTATATCAGCTCGGATGAAAAAAGGAAATGGATTTTTTTGGACAATGTAGATGTCGATTGTTGGAGAAACAACAATACCAAGCTCGAGCTAGGGTCCATGAATGAATTGATCATGCTCGAGGTGGAGGACACTCAACAAGGAGCTTGAGCTAGGAGCTATATATGTATGACCTAACCATGCTCGAGTTGGAGGAAACTAGGTATAAGAAGCTCGAACCAGTGTCCATGGATGACCTAATTATGCTTGAGCTCAATAGATTTTTTAGGAGAAAGAATTGTATCTACTTGATGTTTCTCGACGACAAAGANAAAAAAAAAAAAAAAAGGAAAAAAAAAAGTTCCAAATCTGATATTTGCGACATAAGGAGAATTCGGTCATATCAACTTACTTTCCTCAATAATAATGTACTTAACTTAGAATTTCACAATCATATCATTTTTCCTCAATAATAATGTACTTAACTTAGAATTTCACAATCATATCATTTTTTTTTTCAAACGGCAATTATATTATTACTAAATAAAAACTTAAAACAGTACAACCGAAGTGTCAAATGACAATTATATCATGTTTGAATATTTAATTATGCATTCCAATTTTTAAATAAAAAGCGTTAGGTGTTCAATTTTTTTTTTTGGAGTGCAATAATGCTTGACATTAATTTATGAATAAAAAGATTTATATATTTAAAAAAATATTATTTATTTCATACATCTTACCTTTTCTCTACAATTCTACTATCTATATTTTTGAACAAGATAAGATATTTGTTGGCAAAAATATCTTTTTGTAATGGGTTTAGCAACCTTGGAAATATCATGCTAAAGAATGATCCACTCAGTTGAGCAAACTATTAACATTAATATCCAGTGCCCCACAATTTGAAACATTCAACCCCACCAACATAACCTTTTATCTTCTGTAAATTTATTAAATCCCCTCAATTGCATCCATTCTCCAAAGCCAAAACAAAAATAACATATATATATATATATATTTATATAAATATAATCCTNNATCCTTACACTCAAGAAGACTACTACTCCAAAACCAATCATTCTCCGCCTCTCCACCACCACCACCACGTGAAAACACGACTTTTGATGCGAACGTGGTGATGGTCATTTCGGTCCTTCTCTGCGCCCTAATCTGCTCTCTCGCTCTCAATTCTATCACACGGTGCGCCCTCAGATGCTCCAGTCTAGTAGCGTCCAACCCAAGCCCACAAACTCTCCCTCCGCACACAGGCATCAGGAAAGAGGCCCTCCGCACGTTCCCAACCCTTAGCTACGGGTCGAGCCTCGAGATGCTCGGCCACGGCACTGAGTGCGCAATCTGCCTGTCGGACTTTGCCCCGGGCGAGCGCGTGAGAGTGCTGCCCACGTGCCGACATGGGTTTCACGTCAGGTGCATAGACACGTGGCTCGACTCGCATTCGTCGTGCCCCACTTGCAGGCACTGCTTGCTTGGCCGACAGCTGGCCAAGGACCCGACCCAAAATGATGCTTTTGGTGTGAGGATACAACCATTGCAGCCTGAAGATTTAATTCGAAGTCATGAAATATAAGCAAAGTTTGGAGAGTTGTGCTTTTTTGAGTGATCATGTTAGTAGATGGGATTTTATTTTATTTATTTTTATTTTGTTATTTTTTTTTTTCGAGTTTAATTGAGAGTGAGACAATGGGAACTGTAGGTAGTGGTATTGTATTGAGTGGGAATTGACAAAAGTTTTGGTGTAGCATCACTATAGTCGAATTTAATTGGAGTTTAATTGGTTTGAGATTTTTAAAGGTTTTTCAATAATTTTTAAATTTGGTGTATTTAATTTAGACTCTTTAAAACTTTTAAAATTACCAGATATTCATTTTTTAAATTTTAAAATTTTTATAAAATTCTGAGATATTTAATTTATTTGAGATTTGAATTTGTTAAGACTTTTTAAGATTTGTTGGAATTAAAAAAAGAAAAATTAAATCTGACCTCTAAACTTAAAATTGTACATAATTTTGAAAATTTTAAAAAGTTTAATGTTAAAAGTCTGAAATTTTAAGTGTGTTCATAATAGCGGCTCAATTCGTTAGACAATTGGCATTGTTTGGCGAACGTCATTATTACTTTGTTTAACATTATTAATAATATTAATATCTAATAATGACCTTTACAATATCTAGTATTTACTTTTACAATATAACATTCAGTTTGACTGATTTATATTTTAAATGAAAAACTTGCGAACCTTTTAAGGATATCGAGAATGAAATACAACACCAATGGAAGTAAGAATTGCACCAAATGAGAAGTAAATTTAACGAAAATACATATATATAAAAAAAAAATAAAAATTATTAACATAGTCGATCGAACCTTTTGTGTTATACTTTTTATTCATTTTTTATGAACACATGAGTCCATTTTTTATTTAAACTTTTAAATAAGCGATTAAAGCGGAAAGGAAAAATGAAAACAATGGGAGGGGACAATGACTATGAAACTAATGGATGCTAGCTGCTGCTGTTGGCAGCTGGTACACTCGTCACCCCTGGCTACTACAGATTTTTTGTATGGCACGTGCGGACCGCTACAAATTTTTTCTTTCATTATTTTCCCACTTGGAAATATGTTAAGAATAAATACCATCAAAGTTCAATAAAAATTCTCATATCTGTGGGTCTGAATGCTATTTGAAGCTATTGATTCCAAATCATCTTGTTTAAACATATACTAAAGGGTGATCGAAAGTAAATTATTTTGGTTTTGTTTTTATTTATTAGATAAAGTGGGGTTAATTTGAATAAAATTAATTGATTGGATGATTGAGTTGGATTTTGTATTTGTATTAAATAATATTTAAAATATAATAATTACAGTTGATTTAATATAAAAGTAGGAGATATGTGATTGAAAATGATGATAGTTAAAATTACGTGAGTTGAGTTGATTAATAGTGAATTAGTTGATGTGATATGTGATGATAATTTTGTTCCAGAACGATAGGGATATTATAGATCAAAACGCACAACTGCGCAAAAAAGCAACCCATGGCTGAACATTACAACCAGGAACTAGAAACTGGGAGGACGGATCGAAACCGCCTAGAGCCTCGCTAGCCACGCTAGAAAAGAAAACACACAATACACAACTAAAAGACACCAACACTCCAACTACGAACGCTCCCCACAAGAGAATAGAAACGCCCCCACAGGGGAATCAGTACTGGGGCCAACGGCCCAAACCTAAAAAACAAGACAAAAAATATCACAAACACAGACTCAAAACATACGAAAACTAAAACAAGAAACTATAAATCAATAGAGAGAGCTCTTCCCCAGCCAACCAACGAAACCAAAACAGCAGAGAAACAATCGATCCAAAAAGAGCCCGAGCCCGAGGAACTGCTACCGAAACTTATGTGATGATGATTTATTAATATTATTTTATTATATTAATAAAATTAAGAAAAGTTAAGTTGGATTTTGAGTTAAAAATATGTAAAAATTGATTGAGTGAATTTGAGTAAAAAAAATAAAAAATCCAATCGGCCTCATGCGGGCATTTGGTGTTGTTGCTCCTATTTTTTATTTTTAACTTTTTTTTTGAGATGATAGAGAAAACTCTTTTAAAAATAAAAGAATTTACACCGAGAGATCAACTAATCACACATATATGTATAAAGAAAAAAATACAGAAGGACCACACACAATGGTGACTAAACTCAAACAAAATTAACCAAAAGCTACTAAATATAAACTAAAGGCAAAAGCACTAGCACTCTGGAACTTTTAGGCTACCTCACAACAACTAGAATGAAAACNTTAACCAACCGGACCTAAGTTTATATCATTCTTACTTCAACTATTATGAACATTCAGTAATTACAACTACTATAGATGATCTGATGATGGTCAACTGTGGCATCCAAGATTCTGAAACATGCACAAATTTCTAGACTTCCAAATCAACCAGAGGATATAGGTTGTCAGTTGAAATTTGGCCTCAGATGTATCCTTACAGTCCATAAAACGTACATTCCACCACCAGTCCTTGAAGTTTGTTGGTGTTAATACCTTCCCAGCTGATTAGTGTCAACTTCCAAACTTGTTGAGCTCTACTACAATTGAATAATACATGCTCAATAGTCTCTTCATCTTCCCTATTGTAGAAGATTATGTTATTTACTGAGTACCGAATCAAAGGATTCGTTTCCCGGGTCGATCACTCAGGGAAGGTTAGCCGGATTACTTTGCACGATTATTCAATCCTAAAAAGAAGAAAAGTAAAACCTAAGCATTCTAGTTCAGAGATTGATTTTGGTTTAATTATCAACTAACGAATATAAAACAACGAAGACTTAAATTCAATGCAAAGATGATGAATTAACAATGATAAAGAAACTAGGGAGTCAGGGATATTTGCTTCGGTTCGAAATGCAATTAACGAGCAAGTGATCATTTGGCTAAAGGATTTGAGTAACCTACTCGTTCAGAAATTCACCCTTAATAACTTTTCGTGACAACAGAGTAAACATGAACGACAAATCAAAGAGTCCTTTAACACATAGGCAATGTGTTTACGAACAAGCATATTCTATGCGAGCCTAGATCGATCAACTCCTCCCTTTTGGTTATAAGAATTGATTAAATTATACTAGAGGGGAATTAATCAACTAATCTTCTAGAATTAGAAATAACAAACCCGAATCAATCATATTCAATTGAAAATTAATCGCAAATTGAAGTGTCACTTTTCAATACCATAATTAAATCCAACTAATTAAATTGAATACCATAATTAAATACAACTAATTAAATACCATAATTGAATTGAAGTGTCATTCAAGGATGAGAATCAAAACCCTAATTAAATACAACTCATATAAATTGAATGATCAACAAGTACGATAATCAAAATCGAAACCAAAACATCATTCTCTATCCCTAGCAATCAGATTTAGCTACTCATGTCGATTTCAACAAAAACGTTCATCTCAATCCAACCAATCATATTCATAACTTAAACAAAGAGAAATACTTACAATCGAAATGGAATTGAAAGTTGAATCCGAAGCACAAGCTTAATCTTTGAAAATAGAAAGGAAAATCGAGATGAAGAGCCAATCCAATTCTATGGTCTAGGGTGAAGAAGATGAAAAAAAAAACGAGTTTAGGAATGTTCTCCCAAGTCTGGGATTAAATTCTTATTTATAGGACTCGAAAAACTGAGCCAAAACGAGAAAACAAGAAAAAACGAAAAAAAAAAAAGGAATCTGCCCGCACCCAGGCCCTAGCGGCGCTACGGCACGGGCTAGCGATGCTAGCAAGTGGCCTGTGGGAGATCTGTCGCGCGCTAGCCTGGGTAGCAGCGCTGGGGCATGCGCTAGGGGACCTAGCGGTACTAGGCTGGCTGGTAGCGGCACTACGGTGCGCCTGGACGCTGGCGCGCGCGTGGGGACTATGCTTGGGCAACTTTGCATGACTTTGCGTTTCGGGTTCGTTTGAGCTCGTCCGTACTCGGAATTGAGTTCTGTTTTTTTTTTTACTTGTCGCCAGAGAACCCTTCTAATCAAATATGCTTGCCCACTAATATTTTCTAGAAATCCTATCCTCCCGAGCTTCCGACCTGCACACAAAAAACGAGACAAAAAACTGAGAAAACTGGAATACGAACGAAAAAATATGAAAACACTCAAAATGAAAGAAGACATGCAATAAACTACAAAAACAACTAAAAGCCAAAGAAACGACCAAAAACTGGTAAAAATAAAGGAAAACTGACAACAAAAAACGCAAAAAAAATGGGACAAACATTCTCCACAACACTTGCATATATTATCAACATCCATTTCCCTCTTTTTAACTCCAAATAGATAGACAAACTTCCAAAATAACACTTCCTGAAGAAGTGTTTGATTTTACGTTTTACCTTCATCCTCAACTATTTGCCTCACCTTCATGTCTTTCAAATTCGACTCACTTCCTTCAGCTCTATGTAGCCTTCTAATGTTGTCTCCAATGCAGTTTGAATAAGCAGCTACCAAAGAGAACCTTCATGTTTCTTCCAAGGCCCACACCCCATCTCGTTGGGGATCAGTTAGGAACGTCGAATTAATGCAAGTCACGGACTATGAAACCTAAATGTAGCGGAAGTAGAGGTTAGGGTTCGACGCGTACCATTTAAAAACTTGCAGACATTGTACAGACATACATGGCCTACACGACCAGACAAAAGGTTCTGTGAATTTCTTCACACCTCGTCATCTTTCTCGTATTTAGTCGCGTGCTCTGTCGCCAAGAGTCACATGTCTTGCTGAATAGCCAAGGTCCTGGTCGCACATGTGTATGCTCGTGCATCGCGTGTACGCTATCCGCGTGCGGGTGCGGTTTGTCCTGGTGCGGGTCGTGGTTCTTCCAAGCTGAGGGCTGCCGTGGTTAAGGCCTCGCTGAACACCTGGGACATAGCCTCACCACCTTTGGATCGTAACACGTCACCTAGGATGCAGTCAGACACTCTATTGAAGCTGCTGCTCGTGGATGGGTGTACTGGGATGTTGGCGTGCATGTTGTGCACGATGAGGACACGTTGTACACGAATGTTTGATTGGTTCTAGCGGGATATGTTGTTTATTGTGTTTTTGTACTTATTTTCATGTGTTCTATGTGCTTTAGTTTAGTCTTTTTAGGTTTGTTTTTGTGTCGACCGGTCCATTTTATCGTATTTCGTGTGTTTTTATGTCTTTCTTTTTATTTTATATTTTTAGTGTATGCTCTTGAGTGTATTTTCAGGATTATTTCGAGGATGATGAGAAGAGTCGAACTGAGTCCTGAGATACGAGCCTTTTCAATGAATTCCGAGTCATTGTCGAGAAGTTTCAAGTCATTTCGTACGAACCATTTCCATCCGGAGCATTTCAAGTTGTGTCGATCAAAAGCCCCAAAATAAGCCGCACTCGCGACCTCGCGCTGTCTCCCGCACCTCGCGGACGCGCAACGCCCGTTTCCCTAAACAATCGCAACTCGCGAATAAGCTGGCAATGTCGAGAGTCCCGGGATAGCTAATTCGCGGCCACGCAAATCCACCCGCGACGTCGAGAGTGTTTTTACTTAGTCGTCCGC